TCGATTTCTCAAGATTACATATCCCATCATGCATTGCTAGTAGGGACGCAACAATACCAAGTACAATACTCGGTACAAGTACGAGAACAAGTACCGATACATTTCGAGCTCCTAGACTAGACTAGAGAAAAAATAAAAAGTTAAAAAGCCGCTGTCATTTGTAAGGAGCACACGAAGCTCCTGGGATTTGTACATCTCTGTTTTAATGTATGATTTTGTTTTTATAAATATAAATATGTGATGCACAGATACCAGTTTTGCAAGTACAAGTACTGATACTTGTCCAAGTAGTCACAGATACAAGTACTGATACATTTTTGTTATTGCCATGTTTTTCTAAAACAATGCAGACTAATGATTTCAGGACAGTGGTGGAGTGCCAGAGCCCGGTCCCAGCTGCAACTGCTGCCACCCTGGTAGTTCTCATGAAAATGCCAAGTATCGGCACTGGTACTCGAAAAGTATCGGTGCGTCCCTAATTGCTACCAGCAAGCAATGATAATGTTACATTGTTCAGAGGTTGAGTTGTAGATCAGAAGGCGGGCTCTGTGAGGAAGTGCATATTCACGGGGCTGAGTGAATTGATCTCAGTGCATTGAGGAAGTACATCTTATGGGCATCTTCACTTAGTAAGTTTACAAACTTCTAGATGGATCTGGTTATTAGGAGTGGGATAGAACATATGGAAATTCAATATAGGAATACATAGTTTTTTTTTAACCATAGGTACCCTTTAAAGTATACAATGTTAGAAAACAATTAGGGAAAGGTTAGACTACCTATCAATGTTTTTTGTTTTTTTTTGCTGTGTCCTGTGTGAAAATAAGATCCCCTGATCCCATATCCTTCAGATCATCCCATAGGATCCTATTTTGACATTTGACATGGGATCAGAGGATCTTATTTTGACACTTTTTGACTCAGTGCTAACCTTGGCTGAAGACACAGCCGCTCCTCCATCCTACATCGATAAGTCACATGACCAAAAGCCTAAGCAGAAGTCAGATGTCAACTGTCATTTTGTTGCCGCCTGTCCCTGGAATTGGCCATGAAGTCATTCAGCAACATTACATAAATGACAGCCATGCATCTCACTTCCTGTACAGGTGTGGGGACGGTGACATAAATAGCTGCGGGTGTTGGATCTCTCACATCTGTTCTGCTTTCATGGTCGTCTATAAGCTCTAAAATGACAAGTGAGCCCCATAACTTCCTGTGCCTTGTCATCTCTCCTCTCTTCCAATTATTGGCTCAAAGCCCGAGGACAGCACGGTGAATAATTAATGAGGAGAAAGTGTAATAAAGATTGACGCACAAAGCGGGGATATTATCATTGACGTGTGGGCGACCATCTTCCCGGGAAGAGCAAATTGCATAACAGAACCCGGAGCAATCTTTGCAATATATATATGGGATAATGTACTTCCTACACTATATTATCAGGATATTGAGATTTAAACATAAATGGATTGAAGTGCAAAGTCGAATGTGTTTATAAAGGTCACTGAACTTCAAGGTAAAGCGGGACTCCAGTCTACAGGATGAATACAGATATGAAATACATACATAGGGGCAGTTTTACCTGCCAAAGGTCTGGTATTTCTGTCAATCCAGTCCTGAGATGTACACAGCCCTGCCACACATCCACAAATTCTGTCTCTTCACTTTCTCTCCACACTACAAATTCTGAGTCTTTTTTTTTGTATGCGTTCCGTTGCGTTTGCACTGTGTTTTGATGCAGTTTGATGCATGTAAAATAGGACAAGAAGTACTTTTTCTGACTGCATCTGCATGGACTGCAATGGTGTGAATTAAGCACAAGAAAGCCTATTGGAAAGCATTGTGATGTATTTTGACTGCAGCAGTCAAAAGAAACGGACTGCATTACAACTGCATATGGTGTGAACTAACCCTCATTCTTCTAGCTTCTCCCTCTCCTAGTCCAAGAACTGCTGTATAGGGACTACAAGAAGCTGACGCATGGACTAACACATAACATATATATATATCAATCACATCTGTGCACCCCCTATAGACCAGAGCAGTTTTATGTTTACATTTACAAGCCTGTTTATGCAGCAAATTCTTCTATCAAGCCACAAACTTTTTTCATTTTTGGATGGGAATCAATAGTGAATACCTTGTTTGGTCTCATTGCTTTTGCATCATTTTGAGTGATTCAGCCAAGTCTTAGGGGTCTATTTATAAAAAAAATTGAAGAACCATTCATCCTGCAAATCACTGTGAACAATTATTCTGTGCTAACGGAGGCAAAATAGATGGTTCTTTGTATATTTTCTTTTCAAGTTGAATATAATGTAATACTGCTTTATGGCCACTAGACGGAGCTGAGGAGTATAGGAAATAAGTCAGAGGAGGAGGAATGGGGCGGCCAGAGGAGGAGGAACGGGGCAGCCAGAGGAGGAGGAATGGGGCAGCCAGAGGAGGAGGAACGGGGCAGCCAGAGGAGGAGGAACGGGCGGCCAGAGGAAGAGGAACAGGCGGCCAGAGGAGGAGGAACGGGGCGCACATGCGCGAGGCGGGCTCAGTACGCAGGCTGCAGAAGTGTGCGCGTAGCACTCCAGTGCCATTAGGGCTATCAGGTGTGGGCCTTGCTGGGGGGAGGTTCCCAGCACACGCCTTCCATCTCTCTTGCCTGCCATTGGCTCCCGGGATGGAAGCCTCCTGGTTGCCTCGGTGACGGGGGGTGGTCTTACATCCCCTGGCTATAAAAACCTGGCCTGAGCTCTGGCTTGTTGCTGAGTTATTCCATCTTATGGTGTGAACACTTAGCCTCTCTGTTGGATCGTATTGTTACCTGTTACCCCCCTTCTTTTGCACTTCCTGATTACTGAACCCGTGGACTGTCTATCGCCTCTGAACCATCGCTGCCTGCCTCGACCCGGACTGGACTTTGTTGACTACTCTCTTGGATTGCCCCTATTTGTACTTCGCTTCCGGACTCATCGGCCGCTTCCTGCCAGTGGGTTCCTTACCACGCTGCCAGCCCGCTGGTACGTCTGACAGAGGAGGAGAAACGGGGCGGTTAGAGGAGGAGAAACGGGCGACCAAAGGAGGAGGAACGGGCGGCCAGAAGAGGAGAAACGGGGCTGCCAGAGGAGGAGGAACAGGGCGGCCAGAGGAGGAGAAACGGGCAGTGGCCAGAGGAGGAGGAATGGGGCTGCCAGAGGAGGAGGAGGAACAGGGCGGCTAGAGGAGGAGAAACGTGCGGCCAATAGAGGAGGAATGGGCGGCCAAAGGAGGAGGAACGGGCGGCCAAAGGAGGAGAAACGGGTGGCCAGAGGAGGAACGGGCGGCCAGAGGAGGAGAAACGGGCAGCCAGAGGAGGAGGAACGGGGCGGTCAGAGGAGGAACGGACGTCCAGAGGATGAGAAACAGGCAGCCAGAGGAGGAGGAAAGGGCGGCCAGAGGAGGAGAAACGGGCAGCCAGAGGAGGAGGAGGAACAGGGCGGCCAGAGGAGGAGAAACGTGCGGCCAAAAGAGGAGGAATGGGCGGCCAAAGGAGGAGGAACGGGCGGAGAAACGGGCAGCCAGAGGAGGAGAAACGGGCAGCCAGAGGAGGAGAAACGGGCAGCCAGAGGAGGAGAAACGGGCAGCCAGAGGAGGAGAAACGGGCAGCCAGAGGAGGAGAAACGGGCAGCCAGAGGAGGAGAAACGGGCAGCCAGAGGAGGAGAAACGGGCAGCCAGAGGAGGAGAAACGGGCAGCCAGAGGAGGAGAAACGGGCAGCCAGAGGAGGAGAAACGGGCAGCCAGAGGAGGAGAAACGGGCAGCCAGAGGAGGAGAAACGGGCAGCCAGAGGAGGAGAAACGGGCAGCCAGAGGAGGAGAAACGGGCAGCCAGAGGAGGAGAAACGGGCAGCCAGAGGAGGAGAAACGGGCAGCCAGAGGAGGAGAAACGGGCAGCCAGAGGAGGAGAAACGGGCAGCCAGAGGAGGAGAAACGGGCAGCCAGAGGAGGAGAAACGGGCAGCCAGAGGAGGAGAAACGGGCAGCCAGAGGAGGAGAAACGGGCAGCCAGAGGAGGAGAAACGGGCAGCCAGAGGAGGAGAAACGGGCAGCCAGAGGAGGAGAAACGGGCAGCCAGAGGAGGAGAAACGGGCAGCCAGAGGAGGAGAAACGGGCAGCCAGAGGAGGAGAAACGGGCAGCCAGAGGAGGAGAAACGGGCAGCCAGAGGAGGAGAAACGGGCAGCCAGAGGAGGAGAAACGGGCAGCCAGAGGAGGAGAAACGGGCAGCCAGAGGAGGAGAAACGGGCAGCCAGAGGAGGAGAAACGGGCAGCCAGAGGAGGAGAAACGGGCAGCCAGAGGAGGAGAAACGGGCAGCCAGAGGAGGAGAAACGGGCAGCCAGAGGAGGAGAAACGGGCAGCCAGAGGAGGAGAAACGGGCAGCCAGAGGAGGAGAAACGGGCAGCCAGAGGAGGAGGAACGGGCGGCTGGTGCCAGCTGCAGTGGTCTGTGTCCCACTCCCAGCTGCCTCTGCTGATACAGGTGGGGATTGAAAGGGACACAGACCCTGCAGCCAACACCAGCGAGGAGGAGAACGGACGAGCAGAGCGGCGGCAGTAGTGCCGCAAATAATCAATAATGAGAATCAATGGCAACGATTCTCATTATTGATTTCGTTGATGAAAATTGAGTGAAGGATGAAAATCATTTTCGTCCCTGAAAAACAGCCAAAAACGAAATGAACACTGACTGTACTAAAAGCTCCCCTGTGCTGAAGGAATCAGTTTGCAGCGGTCATTGCACACAGCTTGGGGGCCTCCCTGACCAGCTCAGTCTGCACCCATTACAGACACACAGAGGAGCTGACACTCGGCTCTTCTGCACAGGACACAGCACAGCTCTCCAACCACGCCCCCTCATCCACCTACTGACCAATCACAGCGCGCTCATCGCTTTCCCCGGATTCCTCTGACGTAAGGCGCCGCGCACGCCGCTGGGAAACGTAGTTCGCTCTCCGGGGAGAGAGAGTCTCGCGTCATGTGACAGCCTGACCTCCTGTCAGCTGTCACGTGACGGGCAGTATGGCTTCCCCGTGTGTCAGGTAGACCGGCCGCCGATGTTGGTGACCGGGAAGTCGGGCCTGTGAGACCGGGGAGAGGGAAGCAGCGGCTTGGACATGCAGAAGATCAAGTCTCTGATGACCCGCCAGGTGAGGGGAAGGAGGAGCCGCCATGGTCATTATGGGAGGGGGGAGGAGTGCACCTGTCAGGGGCCCACTTTAGGGATGACAGCCATTTTAATAGCAACAAGAGGCAGCAGAATAATTCTTCAAGGAGCTGTAACATGACTGATGGGCAAGGTGTATGGCTGGGGACAGGCTCAGTGTGCAATATGGCTGACTCTAGTGTGTAGGGATGACAGGTCCTCTTGAAGGAAGGTGTTTTGATGCACATGATGATGATGATGGTGGTGAAGGGAAGGACCGTAAAGAGACCCTGTCATGGCGCAGAGTATCCAAGGTCAGGGATCAGCAGCCTGCGGCTCGCCGTGTCAGCCGGAAGATGGTCACATGACTTGGAGTGGCCCCTGCTCTGTACATATACAGCGCCGCAGCCATAGGCCGAGATGGACCGCTTACTATGCCACTCTGCGCCCATGGCTCACACGCCGTCATGGCGATTCAGAGAGACCCACCGTGAGAAAAGCCCTAAATACCCCAAAACATTGGTCTCCTGGCCCTCACTTCTTTCCTGCCGAACTAAGCTGATTTTGTATTCATATAGTGGTATGCCTTTGTTGTTGTTACTTTTACCATCTGCACCTCTATATACAGTCATGGCCAAAAATGGTGCAGGAATTGGGGCTGATCTGAGGGTGGAGGTGCAGTAATTGGGGGCTGATCTGGGGGGTGAAGGTGCAGGAATTTGGGGCTGAACTGAGGGGTGAATGTCCTGGAATTGGGGGCTGATCTGAGGGGTGAAGGTACAAGAATTGGGGCCGATCCGAGGGGTGAAGGTGCAGCAATTGGGGCCGATCTGAGGCGTGAAGGTGCAGGAATTGGGGGCTGATCTGAGGTGTGAAGGTGCAGGAATTGGGGGCTGATCTGAGGCGTGAAGGTGCAGGAATTGGGGGCTGAGCTGAGGGGTGAAGGTGCAGGAATTGGAGGCTGAGCTGAGGGGTGAAGGTGCAGGAATTGGAGGCTGATCCGAGGGGTGAAGGTGCAGGAATTGGGGCTGATCTGAGGTCTGTGGCCCACTATTGTTCACTGGCACAGCAGTTGTCCAATTCTTGTCTTTTGATCTATTGTGAAAAATGGTTGCCGACCCCTTCTGTAGGCTGACAAGGAAAGTGCGCCATTGCCGTGGCTTCAGCCTGTGCAGCGGTGATGTCTCGGGTTCCTGTGGAGTAGATGGGCGCCGTTCTCCAGTTATTGGAAAGTTACCCGCAGGACATTATGTACTCGGCAGTTACAGTATGAAACTCGACATCAGTCTGCAAATGTCAGTGTGCACTCCCCACCACCCCGCCCAAACTTACAATGAATGCCTCACTATTGCCATGACAATTTTGGGTCTTGCAGTGTGCCACCTCCGGCCTTTTGCTGATATCATCTGCAAATCATAAGAACATGCAGGTGCCCTCTATACATACCGCTCCTTCATTTCACTGGGCCAACTGAGTGCTGTGGGGTAAGAAGGCCGATGCTGGCATCTTTTGAAAATGCTAGCTGCCTGGCCTTAGCTGTGGCATTCGTGCCTTATTACTTTCATTGACTTTCATGTGCCCCTGGTAGTTTTGGCACTGACTCTAAGCTGTAGAGGGACTATAAATCTCAGCAATACATTATATAGCAATGCTGAATACCACCAGCTATAGAGGAGTACAAATCTCAGCAATACATTATACAGCAATTCAGAATAATACCATCGGCTAGAGAGGACTACAGATCCCAGTGATACATTATAGAGCAATGCAGAATGGCCACCGGCTATAGAGGACTACATATGCCAGCTAAGCATTATACATCAATACAGAATAATATAAAGCTACATACTCTGTGCTGCTCTGGAGTGCCGGCCTGATGTCTCCAACAGGAGGGCTGTGCGTGTCTCAGGAAGGGCTGTGCGGGGTCTTAGGTGAGATTGTAGTCCATCACAGGAGTGAGCTTGGAGCGGTGACTACTTTACAACAAACAGGGACCATGGGGAACAAAAGTAGCCACCCTCCAGAAGGAAGGACAGTGTCAGCACCAATTCAGAGATGATTTGAGGATCTACAGCCGAGTGATACACAAATAAGATACATTTTTAAAGGGACTTGAATGTATTTTTAAGATTTAGCTCCTGAGTTTAGTGTCACTTTAAGCAGATTTCTTCACTTCCTTACAGCTCGTTGGACTGATTTCCTTGGAATTGCTGTTTCACTACCATTTTCATCAGAATATTTGCGAAAGTGTTTGTTACCGCCATTTATTTAGAAAACGAAGATTGCTTCTCTATGTGGACATAGGGAGAACGTTTGCATTACTTTATTCTACTGCATGCACAGCATCGCTTTACCTCAAAACGCACACACGCCGAGAGGTGCATTGTGGTGCCATTATTATTATTACAGGTATTTATATAGCGCCAAAAATTTTACACATCGCTTTACATAGTTGCACATTCACCTCAGTCTCTGCCCTCAAGGAGCTTACAGTCTAAGGTCCCAATCTCACATACACCTAAACAGGTGTATACATACACACATATACATACACCTTTAGGCCAACCTAAACAGGAGCCATTTAGCCTACCAGCATGTCTTTGGAGTGTGGGAGGAAACCCATGCAAGCACAGGGAGAACATGCAAACTCCTTACAGATGGTGACATGGCCGGCATTCAAACCAGGGACCCCTAGCACTGCGAGGCAGAAGTGCTGCTACATATAAAGTTGAACTAAAGCCAAGACATTTTTTTTTTAGTTGTGGATAGAGAAAGGGAGGATTATAAACCCTGTCAGCTTTTTGTGTCCCTTCACTTCCTGTGCAACAGCCACAACAGGAAGTGAGAGGAAATCCCTGGTGGGCAGCAGGGTCACCAGAACTAATGTTCCCTTTGCAAGGTTTCCCGTCTATTCTTGTTCTGGTTACTTTTTCCCTTTCATTAATAACAGTCATCAGGACAGATAGAGAGGGTGAATCTCCCTGATGGGGAAACGGACGGCAACAAAAACCTGGCAGGTGTTCTAATCCCTCTCCAATCACAAAAGTGAAACACAGTCTCCCCCTACTAAGTTCCATATAAGAAAACTCCCTGTTAACCATACAAATATAGTAAATCTAAGAGGGATCCCGTAAAAGGTTCAGGTACCTAGGGCTGGTCTACAAATCTTCCCTATAGGATACATAAATGAGCAGTTCCCCAACCTGGATGCATAGAACCGGAAAAATTGGTCTTAAGGTCCCCACACACCTTACGATAATCGTACGATAATAGCGGGAAATCCCGCGATCGTACGAATATCCTAAGGTGTGTGGAAGCCGTGCGACCTCTACTACTGTAAGGTCGCACAACTTTTAACTTATGAACATGTTCGAAAACCCGCCGAGCATCGTACAATGTTCGGCGGGTGTGCAGCATGTTCGTACGATAAAAGCCGGATGGGCCGTTCGGCATTGCGGTCATCGGAAGCCCGCCCCTCAGGGGGGCGCGGCTTGCGATCATCGCAAGTACGATCTGCCTGTCCAAGATAGCCAGATCGTACGTTTTCTAAGTACCTTACAACCATCGCAAGACAAAAGTCTTGCGATGGTTGTAAGGTGTGTGCCCAGCCTTAAGGAGCACAGCCTGAGTAGCGAACAAAAGGACCTCCAGGACAGCTGGGGTTAATCATAATGCAAACGACCTTCTAAGAAAGCAGCAGGTGGGAGATGAAATTGGGAAAATGAAAGAAAAGGAAAGCAGTCAGAGTTGAGAAGGAAAAAACACGGTCAAGAAAGTAGAAATGATGAACAACATCCCCCCCTCCCGGTCCCCAAAACTGAAGTGAAGCGAGGAAGTGCTTCACTCCGGAGCAGCTTGCAAGAGGGAGCAGTATTCCGATGTGAGGTTAAATTTCGGGCCAATAGAACCATATCCTACAGTACTTGGCATGTAAACCCCTACTAGACGAGACCAGATCCTCCACGCGCTCCACCTCTCCCACCCAATGGAGCCACATGGACACCGTTGGGGCCCTGCCTGTCCTCCTCAGCTCAGGGATACAACACCTGGCTGCATTCAGAAGATGCAGAAGAATAGATTTCTTATAGGATCGCTTAGAAATAGAATTATGATGTATGAGGAAAAAAGCCCGATGCCACAGAATCTCCCTATTCGTGAATTTGCCAAGTAAGTACTTAAACAGTTGACATCCGCGGTGTTAAACCCCCTTCCCGGCCATTTTTCAGTATTCAGCGCTGCGGTACTTTGCCATTTATTCCGTCATGCAGCGCTGTACTGAAATGAATTTTATACCCTTTTTTGGGGACAGATAGAGCTTTCTTTTGGTGGTATTTATTCACCACTGGGGATTTTATTTTTTACTATATTAAGGAAAAATTACCGAAATTTAAAAAAAAAAAACAGTTTCCCCTATATTAAATGATAAAACATTTATTATTACCCAATTTTTTGGTAAAATATAAAAGATGGGGTCACGTCGGGTAAAAAGACACTAAACATGTCAAGCCTTAAAATTGCGTGCGCGCGCAAAACCTCAAAAAACGATAATACCCAAAATTGGCCCTAGGCGACGCTTTAAAAGCTGTTACCGCTCATCAGTTTAGTGTTATCAGTGATTGATGGCCCTAAAATGATTGCTCTCACTGCGACGTTCGCGGCGATATGTAACATGTGTAGCGCAATTGTAATTTTTGCGCGCTGGGGCACCGGACGCGTATTTACGTTTATAGGCGCGTAAACGTGGGGGTGGGGGAGTTAAACATTTTGGGGGGGTTTTTTCCCCTTTTTTTATATGTGGCTTTTATTTTATTTTATTTTTTTATGTGTTACTTTTCTTTATTTTTATTTATATTTTTTTTTTTGCACTTATTGTTATTGCTATTATATAGGGGGATAACAATCCCCCTATATAATAGCAAAGGCACACTGACAGGTCCTCTTTATGGAGACATTAGGGGTCTCTAGGACCCCTAATGTCACCTGTGGACCCCAAAAGAAGCTGAT